AAAAAAAAAACCTTGGCACACCTTGCTAGGTGTGCCTATGTATTTGCGGAAACAAACACCCCTAAGGATTTGATTGAAGAGAGCCAGTGATAACGGCAAAAGAGAGATGGGCCAGTGTACCGGGCCCGGCCATCCACAAAATTATTTGGGCCAAAAAAAAAATAAAACATAAAATAGCGTATCTCTCATTTTCTGAAATCTACATTGTATTTTTCTATTTTTTGTATTTCCTTGTCTTTCTTCCCTTTTTTGGCTTATGGTCGTGCTTTAATACTTTCGAGAACAATTGGACAAGAAAGTCGAAAAAAAAAAAACATTGCCCGAGCACAAAAGGCGATGCAATTGTCTTCAGATCCTTGCTTTACTAGTAACGTGCTCATCCAGAAATCCGTACGAACCTATTTGCTTCCACGAGTGTGTGTGGTCACAGTTTGTGGTCATGAAACATTTGCTCAAAAGCTTTGTAAAATGACCTTTTCAAATGTATTGATCGTCCGAAATTTTCGTGGTTTACACTTGTCAAGCAATTCTTCATATCACAAGTGGCGTTTATACTTTTTGAAAATTGGGAAGACTGTTAACAGGAGCGGAGCCAGGAATTATAATTTATTCGAGCTAAAATTATAACAAAAAATTATGATAAAAAATATTATATTTTAAGTGTTTTTGCAACAACTATTTTTTGGAAATATATTGGTTTAACTAAATTATTTTTTTAGTATGAATTTAGGACTGGACTTTGAAAAAATCAATGACACTTCATTATGACAACAAGAGAATTAAAATTAAAAATAGAGAAAAAGAACACTTATTATGAATAAATTTAACTTATTCAACAATTATTTCTCAAATTTCAATGAACTATTTAATTTTGTCATAAAGCCCCCAAAATAAATTATTATTTATCAGATAGTTATTTAAATTTAAAATTGTTTGATAATTTTGTTTGATGTTAATATGCTATCTATATATATATAATTACTAGCTAATAGCATTTAATAAAACCTATTTAATTTTACCTATGTGGCAATTTAATCATTTTCTCTCCAAAAACCGTTACTTTTGATGAATTTAATCTTTCATTTAATTATTAATTAATCAACACTAATCACTTTAAAATATACAAAAATCATTTGAAACTTTTGATTACTGACAGTTGACCATAATAATGTGTTGACCGTATACTGTGATGAGATGTTATTATTGTGGTTACATTAAATTAATTTTTGTAAAATAAAAAACGTATTTGGAATTCCTAAATAAATAATAACTAATTCACAAAAAAAAAAAAGATGTACCAAAATATACATTACATCCAATTAGATAAATGCAATTTAAAAAAAAAAAAATATTCCAACTCCTTTAATTGTAAATTTGGCCAGCAAAAAGGTGAAAGAGAAATAATTAATCATCATATGCATACAAATCACTCACAATACTTTATTTACATTTGTGCAAGTGCACAGGATCGAATACTAGTATATTATAATTAGTTAGACTAACATTATAAACATTGTTCAATGCCAATTTTAATTATATATATGATTAAAATTATATAAGTTTTAAGTATATAATTCATATATATAATATTATATATATACATGCTCCCAAAAAGTCTACCCGGCCCGGGAAGCAATCAACATGGCTCCGCCCCTTTAAGCAATCTAATGGTTTAAAATTTCGATAATTTTTCTATAACCTCACCGCGCAAAACTAACAATTGTTTATACAATTTTGCTATGAAATCATCAAATAGAGATAAATTTTTACCACACTGTATTCACAAAGCGTAAACTAGACACATCTTTCATACAACTCTATCAAACCGTAGATACCACGACAAACTGCAAAGTAGTTTCGATTCAACATCTGCACGTACATTTCAATCGATGATGCCACTAATATAGCACTGAATAAAAAAAATATATATATGAACCAATAATATGTCCGCATAACCTTCTAATTCGAAAACACAAGCAATCTCTTATCCACACAAACTACTAATGCCGATTGTGTACTCGAATAAAACACGAACACAATCCTACAGCTCTTTCTGGCCAGCAGCACGTCCGGATTGATGCTGAATGGCGAATTTCCTGTGCAGCTCTTTTAGCTTTTCGACTAATTCTTGGAATGACGGACGACATTGTGGTTCACTGTGTGATCGGAACAAAAGTTACTTGAATGAGCTGAAATCTAAACCGTACCGCTCTTAGATTTTATACGTCCTCTAAAGTTCAACTTAACGATGAGGAGATTCAATTATATAAAAGACTAAAAAGATGCTTCACATGATATCTATAAGAAGGATAGCATAATTTTTCCTTTTTCATTTTGATTTATTTATTTTTTTCACTTATAGTCTTTTTATGTTTAAGCCAATAACATATGTAATTACCCTAGAAAAATGCCATATAAAAATTAGAAGAGACAAAAAAAAATAGGAAATTGATAGAATGAGGCCAAAACATACCTATGCCAGCAGCTCTCTATAATAGAATTCCAATGTGGGTCGACCTCTCCCGGTAAATCCAACCGTTGGTTCATGAAACCCACAGTTCCAATCACCTACAAACAATAAAACTTAATAAATCGGACATGCTTGGAGTGGACGTAGCCCTACAAATAAAATTATCATCGATAATCAACTTACGACAGCTATTTTGCATGCGTTCACATATCGACTAAAGAGCTTAACCAAACGAGATTGACAACAAGTACCTGCACCGAATTGAGGGTCTCCCAAGGAATCTTATGCGTTGCAAGTTCCCATAGTATCACCCCGAAGCTATATATATCGGCCCTGAATCATTTCAAATAAGACGAAAAATATCAGCATTGCAAAAGCTTATTTCTCACGATTAATTAGTATGGAACAAATAATGAAGGTACTATTCAGTTAACCATACTTCTCATCTGAAGGTTCATTACGAAGAACTTCCGGAGCCATCCACTGAGGCTGCATTACATAAGGAAGCACACTTAGCGTTTATGTGATAATGTGGGAACAATTTTAAGCAATCCGAACCTAACCTAGGACCAATTATTTTAAAACAGAAAAGAAGACTCGTCTCATGAATTGGAAATATCCCTTTCAGGTAAGCATTTTCTTTTCAATATCCCTTTATCGAAGGTGTGATTTGTGAAATGGAAACAGTTGTAAAAGGATTTGTAAATTTGAAACATAAGTTGTCTTCTTTTCCTCTAAATATATTTTTGGTAATTAATTAACATGTGTAAGTAGAATCCAAGGTCGCAGTTAGATACCGTTCCTTTGCCCGTCTTTGTTGTCAAATAGGTTTCGTGTTTAAGACGCGAAAGACCAAAGTCTCCAACCTGTTCAAGTGCACAGTAAATCAGAGTTAAGAAAACAAAGGAACCAGAATACAGACCAATACAGAGGGAGACACATAAGTAAATATATATATATATATATATATATGTACAAGACTAGAAAAGAATAGTTATGGAAAGCTGACCTTAACAGTCCAATTCTTGTCAACGAGAAGATTTGAAGACTTCAAATCACGGTGAACGATAGGCGGGTTGCAACGGTGAAGATAATTCATGCCTCGTGCCTGTTATAAATTGAAATATTGAACAACATTGCGAAAAATTAATATATATAATTAGAAATTAGTCCAAAATATTATCATAAGCTCAATGGTGACACTTACTATATCCAAAGCCATAAGAACGCGCCTTCTCCACTCCAGTTTTGATCCATTTTTCTGCAATAACCGGAACAAACTTCCCCTGCATCAAAATGAATCATGAATTTGAATATACGAGACTTCTACGACTTTCAAACCTATGGATATCAAATAATATACATCAGTTTATATGATAACCAGACACACACACACACACACACGCACACATGTATATATATCATTATTTAACTATAAATATATCAAATTAAAAAGGAAAAATAGACTACCGTGGAAGAAACTCTGTTACGATGCAAAGACGTTGAGGAGAAGTCACTGCACCCATGAATAAGAGAATATTTGGGTGCCTCAGTCTCTTCATAAGTGACACCTTCAGAAAATCACAAGAAAATGACAAATTACAAGAGATTACAAGTGTCAAATAATTCAGGATTTCTTCACTTCAGTTCTGTTTCTTATCTCTTTGTATTGCAACTCGCTGAAAAATCAATTATTTTAACACGAAAATTGCATCTACATTGCATAACTTTTCACGCACACATACACACAGACAAAACCAAAAAAAAAAAAAAAAATTAACAGAACACAAGACCAACCTCCTGTCTGAAAGAATATATCACATCATCAGAATACTCTTGTTTCGAGAATACCTTGACAGCGACATCCTGCACGTCATACATACAGTTGCACTCTGTTACATGGCCAAACTGGCATCACATTATTTACCAATACTTAATGTAAACAGTTACTTCAAACTTATTATTTTATTTTAATTTTTTTATGTGTTTGTGAGCACATGTTACATTGAAGAATGTTCTGTGACAATAGGGAATGCATCTCTAAAAGTAGAGCAAAAGAACATACTGATCCATACCACAGAGCATGATACACAGTTCCACATGAACCTGCACAAGTACACCAAAAGAAGCAATAAGTTCATGCTAAAATATAAAAAGAGACCTCATATATCGTAACTCGGAAAGTAGCATCAAAAGCAGCACCTCCAAACAGCGAATTAACAATATGCAAAGACTCATCAGAATAAAACCATCTATATATTAACTAACCTTGCCCAATTTGTTCCCCAATAGTCAAATCCTCCCACAAAATCTCATAATCCAGGCAATCCGAATCCAAATCGACTCTATTAACCACACTACTTGTCGTGCTCCCACAACTACTAGCGCTGCTCGTGCTATTGACATTAACTGGTGAAGACCAAGAACCAGGAACCCCTTCGGTATAGGCCGCCCGATTGGTCTCAACAACCACAATATCCGTGTTGGAGTCACTCCTCTGCTGGCCCATCTCATTTTCTTGTTCACTGTTCAACCAAGGCCACCCAAAACGGCCTGACTTAGTGTCCGGCCCATTGCGTTCGTTCCCTCTCCACGGCCACGACAGGTTCTTCTTCCCGATCAGGGCCTCTGCCTTTGTTAGAATTTTCGAAATCCCAGGTTTTGGTTCGCTCTCATCGCTCGAATGTTTTCCAGGGGAGATCTCCTTGTGGGACCCACCTGAGAAGACCCCGAAAGGGGTGGGATGTGTGTCTCCTCTTGGAGTGCTGGCCCCACTCGAGGCCGCATCATAATCCCGGTGGTCCAATGAAGATCCATCAGGAAAACCGCGGTCCGACTGCTGGCTGTCCCCACTGCCGCCTTCATGATCTGAGTAATTTTCTGTATGCTTCATTTTGGACTTCACTTTGCTGCTGACTTTAGAAGCCTGTTGGAATTTTTTAGGGGTTTGGACATGCTATGTGAAAGATCTTTAAGAGGTTATGTAGCAAAACAACAACAACAACATAGCCTTGACGTTAAGCTATTTGAAAAGAAGAATGAAAAAAGAATCCAGAGGCTCTTAAAATTTAAACCTCCCCCCTTCAAAATTAAATAACACCTCAAACCAACACCCTCACAATCATACAAAAATATCGCTATCTCAAATTTAAGACAACCAACTGCAAGTGTTTGTTCCCTTTCTAGATTTTCTTTTAACCCTCTTGAGTTCTTTAAGTAGCCAAAGCAAAACAGAAAAGATTTGGCAAACTGGTTCTTTCAGATTAATATGAACCAGAACACTCACCAAATTCGATATTTTTGATGTGATTGCCACTTGTAGAGGCTGTTGAGGATCAAGCCCAAGTGCGGATGAGGCAATGCTTATGTTCCTACTTAAACTCGACTCACTATTTTCCAATTCCTTTGAAACTGATACCACAGGCTTTGCTTCTTGGAAAGGTTTGGAATCATTAGAGACGCATATAATCCCGACTAGAGTTCCATCATCGTCATAGAAAGGCGTATCGGTGGCGATTGCCATAAACCTTTCCCCTCTTTTGTTCCTGACTGGAAATTGACCCGTCCAGCTCTCGCCCATCGTTACACGACGAACGATGTCATTGGCCACATAAAAATCTCGAGGGTCGGTTAGGAGCTTGATGGCATCCTGCCCTAGAGCCTCAGAGGCTGAATATCCGTAAAGATTTTCTGCTGTTTTATTCCTGAACCAAAATACATTGATCTTTTTAGTAAAAAATAGAGAAATAAATAAATAAATTTTGTCATGCACTTCAAATTGCTCTATAAACTCCACAGCAGAATTTCAAGAAACCCGAGCAAAGCACCATCAAAAGTTTTCTCTCTAAATATGAAAAGTATAGTTCAATTTAGTTTAAAACTGACCAGTATATTATCTGGCAATTCAGATCAAATATATGAACCGACTGCCCCATCGACTGCAATATATTCAAATACTGTTTATCGGTGAACTTAACCCCACCACCGCCGCCGCCGCCGCCGACCCTATGTGGATCGCTATTACGACTCTCTCTCTGCAAAGGCGACGAGTGGCGGAACGACATGGAGCCTCTCCTCCACGCCGCCAAGGCCCCGCTGTCCCCGCCCTCGGCTCTCCGGCGCGGCGCCCTCTTCGGCGAGATGGAGTGAGACCTCTGCCTCTGCTGACGATCGGCGGCCATTATCTCGGCCGTGGACGAAGTCATGAGCTTCGACATTTCCTGCTTCAGGTGGGCGTGGCCCAATTCCAGCTCGTGGATCTTCTTCAGCAGCTCCTCAGCTGGTGGCGTCGCCGCCGCCGCCGCTGATTTTGTGGTGCCCTCGTTCATAGGTGGGAAAATAAAAATCCTCAAAACCCTTCAAGATTGAATCTTGACAAAGAATCTTCAATCAAATATAAACAAGATTGAGCCCAAGATTATAATAACTTTCTGGGCAATTATTCTGATTTATTCCCTTTCAGGCCTGGGTAAGAATGGATCTATGGCGAGAATCACCAAAACATATCCCTTCTCGCTCTCGAAAAAGGGGTTTAATCTTTAGCTGTGTTCTATCATATCCACCATTGATCCCTTGCCCAACTTTTGTAGCTATATGTTCAGTTCTGCTTATCTTTTAACTTTTTCTTGTGTTTGTCTTTCTCTCTCTCTCTCTCTCTTTCTTGAGTACCGCCCCTTCTCTCTCTAAAAATGTCAGCATTCTCTGAGCTATGGCTTGTGGGCGGTTTAACACAGTTTGACCGCGGGACTGAGGACCACTCTCGGAAGTGGAGCGTGTGTGTCACGCATCGTGAATAGCCAATGATGTTGGGATAAAGTCAGGGTGTATGTAGGCTGTGGGTGCACGATAGGTTTCAGCAGCTAGGGCCATAATCTTGATCAGCCTTTTAATTTTTTTTCTTCTCTTATAAGGCATACTTAAATAAATGAAAACAAAATCCTAATGTAAGACATTGGAACGTTTCACACATTTTCAACGTAATAAGGACAAAATATTATATTTTCTAAATTAGATTGAATAATTATCTTATATTAATCTTTTAAAACAATTTACAGTTATGTATATTTGTCAAAATTAGACGTGGCAAGGGTCAAATCGGTCTGGATCTACCGGTTTTCGGACTGGGCACTTACACCTTACGGGTCGATCACGGGTTGGGAGACGGGTTCAGTTTTCTCTACTTTTTTTTTTATTTTTTTCTAGGTGCCAGGCCGAGCTGGTCCCGCTCGACCATTGGGGCCGAAATACGTTGACTGTCATTTTTTTTTAGCGGAGGGTTGTCGGGTCACCTGTTGAGCCCGACGACCAAATTAAACATGGGTCGTCAAATCGATTTGATCGTTGGATATATCTAATGATTATTTTTTTATTGGCGAGCAGGACAATGGGTAGGACCCTACTAGCCTGAACTCCAACAGTCAGATTCTTCACGTGGGCCAGATCAATTGGACCGTTGAGATCCAACGGCCCACACTCGCCCGACCCGCCGGTTGCCCGTAACTCGTCGGGTTTCTGACATAATAATAATAATAATAATAATAATAATAATAATAATAATAATAATAAATGCGAAAGAATTCGGAAATAAATCAAAAAAATTCTCAAAAAAATCCTGTAAATACCTCCTCCTCCCCTTTTGATTTTTAGTTTTATGCTCGGTTTAAAAAAAAAAGTGAAAAAATCGAAAAAATCCAAAAAAAATCTATAAATACCCCCACATCCATTCATTTTTCTCATTCCATTCTACACTCTTTTTTTTAATAATTCTTGAAATTAAATAATGTTGAGCTCTCATGGTGGTCGTGGCTCGGGCTTCGTACAAAAGCGTAAAAATAGTGGTGCATCTTCTTCAAGACCTCCATTGCCGACAATGGTGAGGCCAACTATAAATGTGGATGTTCACGGTGTAGCCAATGATATTGACGCTGCGACGATCGAGCGCATATTTGAATCTATTGAAGAGATCGAAGAATTAGAAGAAAAAAAAATGAGAGAGAGATCGAAGAGTCTGTACACGAGGAGTACAAGCAAGGGCACCAATAGTCGTATCATGATGATTTGGATGATATATTAGGAGGTCAAAAGACTCTGGAGCCTCATCAACAGACGCAGGCGCAGGCGCACCCGACCTCCGTGGGTCGTGGAAGTCATTCGAAAATGTTGAGATCCGACATATCCGAACAACATTACACGAAAGTGCCCAATCCAAAAAAATGTGAGAATCACTTTTTCACTGTTTGCAACCATTGTCTGGTCAACTCCAAGAAGAAGTACATTTTCAAAAGAGGCGATGGATACAGAACGTTGAACCGACACTTAAAGAATTCACTACAAGAAAACACTTCAATTCCAACGAAAAATTCCAACGGCAACAATTTCTGTTGAAAATTCCAATGAATATTCCAACAAACTTAATTTTATGTTGGAATAAGTGTTGGATGGTTGAGGAATTCCAACGGATTTTTTCCGTTGGAATAGTTGTAGGAATTTATTTCCATAGGATATTCTGTTGGATTTTAGCTATTCCAACGGCCGTTTTTCCTACGAATTTTTATACGTAGGAATATCTATTGGAATAGCTATTCCAACGGAAAATATAAAGAATTCCAACGGAAATTTTCCGTTGGAATGTAAGAGTTTTTTTTGTAGTGATTATCATTCAGCAAAATTGGGGATTGACACGGCAGACACAACTCTCGAGTAGCAGTCTGCATCTACCACAACTGGTGCAGGTACGCATTCTTTATTTCATTACTCGCATTAAAATCATAGATGTCATTTAACCGAATTTGTTTCTGCTTCATTTCTTCCTTTTAGTTTTGGTGATGGTGCTTTGTATGAAAATTTTACTCAAATAGCTTTGAATCCGGCTGCCCACCGAGATTCCACGTTCTACTCTTACTCGTGATATTCAAAAAATTGCGAGTGAAAAAAAATTATTCTGCAATAAACTTTTGTATCTTTAAACCAAAGAGTATCCGTATGTGCTGATATTTAGTCCGATCATTGGCAAAATAACTACTATCTAGAAATTACTTGTAATTGGATAGATGATACTTGGACTTACAAAAACGTTTAATCGGTTACATTGCATCTCTTGAACGACACACTGCTTCTGATATTGCTCGTTTAATTTCAATGGTCTTGGATAAATATAAATTGGTAAAAAAAAAAGTGTTTTTCATTTCGTTCAGTGACGGAGCTGTAGCCTAGCGAGGGAGGGGGGCACTGGGCCCTCCTGAAATTTTCCAAATAATTAGGTACATTTTAGTAAATTTGCCATAATATATATAAAAAAAATAAAAAAAAAAAACCTTGATTTAAGAATTTCTTTTTTAATATGCGCTTGGATGAGAACTTCTCAAATTAATGTAGCCAATATTGAAGATCTTGGTCAAAAGGTGGTGTCTAGAAGAAAACATGATGTTATTTAGTGGTTTACTTGTTGATTAAGTTGTTGATTTTATCAGTTATCATTGCTACAGTGGAAAGAGTTTTTTGGGCAATGAAAATCATCAAAAGTACACTACGTTAACCAAATGGGCGATGAGCTTTCGAATGATTGTTTAGTGACATACATTGAGAAATATGTATTTTAGAACATTAGCAATGAGGTTATCATACAACAATTTCAAAACATGAAAAATAGAAGATAAATGTTGTGACCTCTCAATGTTATCGTAAGTTTTTTTTAATACTCAGATATTTTTCTTTGTTTATTTAGTCGACACTTGTATTGATTTATTTATTTTCAATTGATGTTTTTTTTTCTTATTATTAGTTGGGCCCCCCTCGATAAAATTCTTAGATCCGTCACTGATTTCGTTCGATAATCTTGGTGCCAATACTGCATTTATACGTGAACTTACTGATATTTGTACTCCCATTTGTCTGGAATTTTTTTTTTATATTTGTTGTATGTCAGTCTTAAATCTTTGTGTGCGAGCTGGTTATCATGATTTTAAAGACTTGGTCACGCCCACTAGGGAACCTGTTAATTATTTTCATAAATGTCCCTGTGAAATGAAAGAATGGCTCAAATTGGGTAAAGCTTTGGGTTTAAACCAAAAAAATCCCAACCGGACATCCCTAACCGGTGAAACTCAACATATAAAATGTTGAACGACACAGCTGAGTGGATAGCGCAATTGGAGCATTTTTATAAAGATACAAAACTTAAGGACTGTGACGTCCGAGTTAGTTCAGATGATTGGATGAACTGTAATGCACTTACTCAATTTTAAGAAACATTTCAAAATGTTACTAACATTATTTCTGGTGTTTATTGTCCTACTACTCAACTTTTGTATAGTAAATTTATAGCCATAATGTGGCGTTTTAAACATCTGTATATTTTGGATCCCATTAAATATGGCGACTTATTTTGAGACATGTTAAGAAAATGGTTAAGATATTATTATTTCATTCCCGATACAGTTTAAGTTGCATGTTTGTTAGATCCTTCAGTACGTGATGTTGGCTTGATAGGCAACTTAACATGTACTGTGTCAAGACAAAAAACTAATGGAACAAGCAAAATTTTTATTGTACGATTTGTTTAGGGAAACAGGAATCCGACTCGGGGAATCTCTGAACTCATTTGTTCGTGGCAGCGGCGTCGGCAGCAGCAGGTCTTGATTACAGAGAGCATTGGGAGATGCAGGAAGCTAAAAACTTTTCAGAGCGGTGGGACTCATTAAATCCCTACAAAAATGTTGGCATCCAAAGGCCAAGAGAGACTGGATACTATGAGTGGGATCACTATCTTAATTCGAATTTGATACTTACGGTTGCGCGTCAACCAACTCTATAATTCCCCGTTATGTAAATAGAAAAATACTGGATTATTTTTCCAAAATTGGAGTTAAATTTTTGAAAATCAATTTAAAAGATTTATTTAACGGGCGCTACTCAACAACTTCACATATCAACAGTTAAGATCTCACTTAACTAAACTGGGAACCATCCAGAACATAATTCATCTCATGCCAACATTCAACATGCTTCAATAGATATTCAACCATATGAAATAATCCGATAATCAAGATATAGTCAAATTCTCAAGTTCAAATCTTCAATCATGCATCATAGTTCAAAAATAAACATAGTCAAATCTCTAGAAACAATAGCAAATAAGCTGACATGAGATAGGAATAATAAGAAAAACGGAAGCAGGTAAAACAGTTCATCAACACATATATGACCCTGCCTCGCTCGTCTTATTTCCACGGCTACCAGCTCAACCTGAAAAGAGAGATAATAGTGGGGGAGAGCGAACTCTTGCTCACCGTGGGAATACCATGCAGTATAATCAATATAAAGACTTAAA